CATAACGGTTTTGGCCTTAGCGTGATCTCACATCACCAACGGCCCTCGGCCTCAGCGTGATCCCACATCACAACGGCCGTCCGCCTCAACATCAGGACGACCCTCGGCCTCAACATCACTAACGGCCCTCGACCTCAGCATGATTCCACATCACAATGGCCCTCGGCCTCAACATCAGACGGCCCTCGGCCTCAACATCAACAACGTCCCTCGACCTCAGCATCAGAACGGCCCTCGGCCTCAACATCAACAACGGCCCTCGGCCTCAGCGTGAGGACATCACAATGGCCCTCGGCCTCAACATCAGACGGCCCTCGGTCTCAACATGACTCTATGTCATAACGGTCTTGGCCTTAGCGTGATCTCACATCACCAACGGCCTTCGGCCTCAGTGTGATTCCACATCACAACGGCCCTCGGCCTTCATCCCTCCGACATCTTTATTTGATGTCAGGGGCTATCATACAGGCCCATCGGCCTTCATCCCCCCAGCATCTTTATTTGATGTTGGGGGCAATCACACAGGTCCCTCGGCCTTCATCCCTCCAGCATCTTTATTTGATGCCAGAGGCTATCATACAGGCCCATCGGCCTTCATCCCTCTGACATCTTTATTTGATGTCGAGGGCCATCACACAGCCCATCGGCCTTCAGCCCTCCGCCATCTTTATTTGATGTCGGGAGCTATCATACAGGCCCCTCGGCCTTCATCCCTCTGACATCTTTATTTGATGTCGGGGGCCATCATGAAGACCCCTCGGTCTCCTTCCCTCTAGCATCTGTATTTGATGTCAGGGGCTCTAACACAAGCCCACCTGGCCTTGCACCCCTCCGTCACCTTTATTTGATAACGGGGGGGGGGGGGGGGGGGGGGGGGTCCTTACAAGCTCCTTAGCTTTTTCATGCAGGATCTAAGGCTGATCTTGGATGTCCCCTCAGCAGACGGACACAACCGCCGCTCAACAATCAAGGCCGAAGGGTGCACTCCTTTTGCTTCATTCTGAGGGCATCCGGTGTACTCTTTTTCCCTCATTAGGATTTTTTCCCACAGGGTTTTTTCCTAATGAGGTTTTTAACGAGGCATCTCCCCATTGTGGAGCAAATGGCGCCACCCCTCGGCGGCTCCTGCTGAAGGCATGCATCACTCTACTCCTGTTTCCCTCGAGAAACTCTCGGAAAAAGGAGTGGGGGACTGGGGGACTCCCCTCGGCAAAACACGCAAATGTTAAAAATTTTCTATTTCTCAGCTACAGCAGGCTGAGGCAAGATCACAATGGCAATCTACTCCCCTCGACATGATGCTTTCGGCTTACAGAATGCCTCCGGCCACACAATGCCTTCGGCCACATGATGCCTCCGGCCACACAATGCCTTCGGCCACATGATGCCTCCGGCCACATGATGCCTTCAGCCACACAAAGCCTTCAGTCAACAAATGCCCTCGGCAAAGCACACAAATGCAGATCTCTCATTACTGTACAAAGTACAACAAAGAAACACATACGAGCAACACACTTACACTCCCTTCAGGAAGCTCTCAGCCCTCGACATATGGGGGAATTGAGAAAATAGGGCACCCAACAGGACAGGGAAGCCTTCGGGGAAATCACCACAGCAACTCCTTTTCCCTCAAGTACCTTTCGGCAAAAGGAGTGGGGGACTCCTGATGGAGTATATGGCCCAGGGACCCCCGACACACATATTTCCTCTACTACAATCAGGCCCAACAGGCCCAAACGGGCCAAGCCCAGCAAAATGGAGCTCTGAGCAGCCCACAATACGCAAAGGGGTGCTTTCGGCCGTATGGCCGAAGGCTACCAGTGACGGAATCGAGCTCAGAAACATCACAGGAGAACAAGGCTTGAAAACCAAGCCTTCGGCAACTGCAGCCCTCGGCAGGTAGGAGCCCTCGGTTAGAAGAGGCATCACAGGAGAACAAGGCTTGAAAACCAAGCCTTCGGCACCTGTAGCCCTCGGCAGGTAGGAGCCCTCGGTTAGAAGAGGCATCACAGGAGAACAAGGCTTGAAAACCAAGCCTTCGGCACCTGCAACCCTCGGCAGGTAGGAGCCCTCGGTTAGAAGAGCCTTCGGCCCAGCACCCTTCAGCCGAAGGCATCCACCTCGACATAATATCCTCTTCACATGCGCCTTGATCACCGTACCAAGTACAAACGTCACATCCAACCACCGCATTTAATGCGGCCACATGCGAGTGCCAGTGCCACCCCGGTCGAGGTGACCCCTCGACCACCAGAAAACTGACACGTGTCCTTATCTAGCATTTATTACCACTATAAATAGCACCCCTTTCCCCCATTGTAAACCACGCTTAATACATATCGAATATACACTCTCTCTCTTACTTGTTTGCTCTGACTTCTCTCTAGTTATTCTCCGCAATAACCCCTCGGATAAGCTACCCCCCGGGTACACTATCCATCAGTGCTAGAGCTTCTGTAGATATGGGTAACCTCCGCCGCAACCGAACAAAGCAGATTGGGAGGAATCATCCAAGGTTACGCAAAGGTAAGGGAGGGGCCGAGTCTTCATCTCAAACCCGAGAAGATTTTGATGCGGATTACAACCAAAGATATGGGGATGCGATGTCCGATGAGCAACTAGAACAACTATTGCAACAAAATCAATGAGGTTTTTTTCATCAACAAGACATCCCGCAAACCATTGATGTAGAAGAGCTCGAGGATGATGATGCGGAGGAGAGAGATCCGCAAACGGTCAAGGACGAGGTTAATGGCACACCAGACGATGAGGAAGAGCAAGCGGAAGTGGCTACTTCTAGTTCTTCCCAAGCCGGTGAGAAAACTGAATCTGTCTTTAAGGCCAATTTTACAAAAGTTAAAGACCTCGAAACCGAGATATGGTACGCCACTTGCAAGCATTGCAACAAAAAGTATAACTTGGAAATTCCTGGAGGGTACGGGAGTGCCACAAGGCATCTTAAGGCCAAGCATCCGGCAGAATATGCGAAATCGGACAAAGGCAAGGGAAAGCAAACACAAATTTCAAGGTTTGCAACTGGTCAATCATTTGGTAATTTCTCCTATGATGATGAAAGACATTTGACTGGTATGTCTCATTTAATTGTTGAAGAAAATTTGCCTTTTATTTTTTCTGAAAGTCTTGCTTTAAAAGAATATGCTCAAGGTACTTTAAATCCTCAATTTCGAAACTATAGTCACAAAACAATTAAAAAAGAAGTTATAAGGCAATATGTTTTGGAAAAGCAAAAATTACAAACGTTTTTCGCAAAATTTGATGACGTGTTAGTATATGTAGTGATATATGGGAGGATACTCATCATCATTTATATTATTTGGGTTTGACTACACATTATATTGATGATGATTGGTGTATGCATAAACGTGTTCTTTCTTTTCGTGAATTTAATGATCGACACAGCGGTGATAATATTTATATTCTCATTGAGCGTATTTTAATTGAGTATAATTTGATTAATAAAGTATTTGCTATTGGTTTTGATAATGCTACTAATAATACTGCTGCTATTCCTAGATTACGTGAATTGTGTTGTTCATCTTCTTTGATTGGTAAAATTTTTCATCAGCGTTGTGCATGTCATATTTTTCATCAACTCCGATTAATGAACAAAGCTCGATCAACGAGCTTTCTTTGTATCTAACATTTCCTGTTGAGTATGAAGAAGAGGATGACTTTGGCGTTCTTCAGTGGTGGAAGGAAAAAGAGAGAATGTTCCCGATCTTATCAAAGATGGCAAGCAAGTGCTAGCAATGTCGGTATCAACAGTTGCTGTGGAACAAGAGTTTAGTGCGGCCGACAACGTCCTAACGGATTATAGAACGAGATTGAGCGCACTCTCTTGAGACGTTTGTTTGCTTCCGCGATTGGTTGAAGGCCAAATGTAGAACTCAAGAAATTAGCATTGAACCCACCCACCACTAGGGATGGACCCGGGCCGGTCCAGTTTTGGTTCCGAGCCAGGCCCGGGCGGGCTTTTTTTGCAAATCCTTGGGCCCGGAACCGGCCCGGGTTGATACCGGGTCCGAGCCCGATTCAATGTCTAATTTTTTTTTTTGCTTTCTTGTTATTCCCCGACCACCCCCCCCCCCCTCACCCCCACCCCCAAACCTCCCCAAAACACCCAGCCCTACCCTAGGAAAAGAAAAAAAATTGGGGAAAAAAAAATTGACCCGAGCCCGACCCGAACCGCCCGGGCCGGTTCACCCAAAACTAGGCCCGAGCCCGGCCCGACCGACCCGCCCAAACGGTCTAAAAGCCCAGAACCGGCCAACCGGTCTCGATCCAGTCTGGGCCCGCACAGTAGCGGGTCGGGCCGGGTCGGTTTAGTCCATCCCTACCTGCCACTTTATGGAAAAAAGAACCGAAGATGGAAATTCTAATTGATTCTTATTTATTAAAAAGTGTATTTCTTGTTTTAATTTTTGCTCAATTTTCAATTGTACTACATATTTCAAAGAAATATATTTTAACTTTTTTATGTCCAAGTCATCTTAATTTAATATTTAAACAAATAAAAATTAAATAGCCCGGCCCCAGCCCGAACCGGCCCACTACCCATCCAGGTAGGCCCGACCCAAACCGGACCTAGTATCATCCCGGGCCAGTTCCGGGTCCATGTTTCTAAAAAAAAAGCCCGTCCGGGCCCAGCCCGGAACTGAACCAGCCCGGGTCCATCCCTATCAACATCTGTGATTCAATATACAAAAAAAATGGAAAATGTTCCTAGGGCATGCTTGGTTTGGGGAGGCAAATGATTGTTGAAAATGAAGTCAATATACAACTATATAGAAATACATGGAAAAGCCAATCCTATAGTTATTTTATCTCAAACTAAGAAATGGAGATCATTAATAAGATGAAATTGACCATCCCCTCCTTTCCCCTAAGAATGTTGGAGCTTCCAAAACTCATATATGTAACATAGATCCATACATTATTAACACTAACACCACTAATTCACATGTAGAGCTGTAGAGGTAAACGTAAATGTAGGATGAAATAGTCTTTAAGATTATTTGACATTTTCTGCTGAAATTCAGTGTAAAGATGAACACATAGATTGAAAAAGGATAAAATTGATTAAAATTAAAAGAATAGCTATTTAAAGTAGAGTTTCTTTTCATCTACTTCTTTTCCTTTTCACCTACTAAATGGTGATGGTTGAAAATTTATAATACTTCATCTACAATAAAAACAAAACGACATGTCAAAGACACACTTGACATATGATTAATTATACAAGGCAACCACGAAACAATATCAATATGACATATGATGTATACCCAACCAATAGAATACCAAATGGTTAAATAAAGAAAATGCAACAACCACAACAACACAGCCTTAAGCATGATAGTAATAATTTAAAAAAAAACTTGCAACCAGAATATGCAACCATGACTTAATTTGCACTTTCAGAGCATTACTCTTGGGCCTTGGCAAGCTGAGAGGAGATAACCGAAGCAGGAGAGAAGACAAGGTAGATCGCTCTTAAACTCCTAATTAACTACTGTGGAACCAAGGAAGACCTGGTGGAAGGCATTGCTTTGATTCTGGAATAGGAACTATGGGACCTAGGAATAGGCGCCACAGATCTAGTATAATTGTTACAAGCATTGAAGCTCCTAAAGCATCAATGGCTACCCTTGGCAAGTCCCATAAATCACCACGTTTCTCATCAATCCTGTGTATTAACATTAGGTCCCAATTTATTTAACAAAAAGGAAAAGTTGAAGGGAAAAATGTCCTAATAATCTCATTAAAGAAAATGGCAACGTCATAAGAAAATGGAAAAGCAGTTGTATACAAGTAAAAAACCAGTTCTACCAATCACCATTACGTTATGAAAATTAAGTCAAAGACAACAAGTAATTTGCAAGTGCTATTGATTTAAGTATATTATATATGTGAATCTTTAGTTAAAAAGTTAAAAATAATGAGGGCAGCCTTTGTCTTTATAAACAATAAAGATTAGAAATATGCAACATGGCCACAATATTATATTATTCTTAACCAGGTTATTAGTTTCTTTGTTAGCCAGATACTTCCTCTGTCCCAAATTATAAAGGACTTGTCTGATTACAAGACATAGCTGAAATTTATTACATAGTATGATTTAGTTTTTAATTATATTTAATTTTGTATTAGTCATTGAAAAACTTGTATGAGTTGAGGAAATTATGGTTAAATTCCTATATGGATAGGTTAAATTCAGCAAGTCCCTTATTAGCTTTTCCCACACACGGTGAGTGATTCACATGTCACGTATGCATGACACAGGTAGCTCTTATTAGTGGTCCCTTGGATAGTCTAAACGAATTCAACGAAAGTGGAGTTCTTTTTTCTTGCAACAATCTAGAAATAGCCCCTTATTTGAGGATAAAAATGTATTGTTTGATAAGATGTTTATGATTTGCCCCTTATTGGATGTTCATCACCATGATTTTCCCTCCGACGGTTGCCGTTGTTCCCGCCGTTGTTCCCACCGTTGTTGTGGCAACGTTTATTCTCACCGCCTCCTTTGAGGGTTGTGATTGTTGTTGGTGGCGGTGTTGTTGTGGTTGTTTTGCCCCCATTTGGTCCGATTCGGTTCACATCTAACCTCCTCAATCACGATATTGCACTTGATTCAACGATGTCCCATTACTCTTTGAGAGACACTCGAAAGCTCGGTGCCCTAGATTGCCGCAATTGAAGCACTTGGTTAGGCTCCAGAAATACCACACTACGCATGTCCAGACCACTATGTATGAGAAATTTGTGCTATTTTTGGACATGAGTGTCCAGAAATACCACACTGAATTCTTAGATCTCGCCCAATTTGAGAAGACAATAGTACCTTATGAAAACAACAAAGTTAAGAAGTTTATCTGTGGGCTATACTATGATATTCAAAAAATTGTCGCCGTTTTGGATTGTCAAACTCAGACTGATGCCTATGGTAAAGTTGCAATTCACTACCGAGTTCAGCAGTTACAAAGAGAGAAAACCCAGAAGCTAGAAAGCAACGGAAATGAAAAGCGAGGTCGGGGAGAAAAGAGGTTCAAACTGAACTCACCTACACAACAACAAGGCTGGAGAAAGAGGAGAGAAGACCAAGGTGGAAGAAATTTCCACGGTCAAAACCAACGAAACGATCAGAAAGCTACTCCTACATATAGGCACCTGTATTACCAGAAATGTGGGAGAGATCACCCTGCGGTTAACTGCGATAGGAGCTGAACCAAGTGCTTCAATTACGGGAAGACTAATGGGGCACCGTTGAACCAAGTGCAATATCGTGATGGACGGAGGCCAGATGTGACCCGAACCACACCAAATGACGGGCAAAACAACCAGAACAAAGTTGCCAACAAAAAAACAATTGCAACCCCCAAGGAGGAGGTGAGAATAATCATAGCCATGACAACACTGGGAACAACGACAACCACCCAAACCAAAGGCGAATCATGGTGATGAACCAAGCCCAAGTCAATCCAACGATGTGGTCTCAGGTACATTCCTTGTAAATTCTGAGTCTGCTTATGTTCTATTTGATTCCGGTGCTTCTCACAGTTTTATATCTTCTAGCTTTGTTAAGAAATTGAAGATTGAACCAACGGCTAGAATAGACTTGAATATAAGAACTGTCTTAGATAAATTTGTAGCTTGTGGAAATATATACTCCAACATTTCCATACTCATATCTGAATCCGACCTATCTGAAGATTTGATTCAATTCGACTGAAAAGATATAGACGTAGTACTGGGCATGGATTGGTTGGGGAAGTACAAAGCAAGGATCCTCTGTGATGAACAGAATGTGATCTTGAAGGGTTCAAATGGGAAGCGAAAATCTTACAAAGCAATCACAGCCAAGCCTAGTATGAAGCTCAAGACTATGCAACAATTAAGACGACATATCCAAATAGGGTAGGAAACATACCTGTGCATGATGAAAGAGGTCAATACAGAGGAGCCAAACATTGATTAAATTGTTGTAGCCAACGAATTTCTGGACGTATTTCCGGAAGAGATTCGAGTGATGCTACCCGAGAGAGAAATTGAATTTTCAATTGAGTTGATGCCCGGAACTGCACTAATTTCAAAAGCACCTTACCGGATGAAACTAAAAGAAATGCAGGAGCTGAAAGAACAACAAGAAGAGATGTTAGAGAAGGGGTACGTAAGGTCAAGTGTCTCACCTGGGGGCGCTCTGGTTTTATTTGTCAAAAAGAAAGATGGGAGTACAAGGTTATGCATCGATTACCAAGAGTTGAACCAAGCAACTATCAAGAACAAGTATCCATTACCTTGTATTGACGACTTGTTTGATCAATGAAAGGGGATGGCACATTCTCTAAGATAGACTTGTGCTCTAGCTATCATCAAGTGAGAGTAGCCGGGAAAGATGTACCAAAGACAGCATTCCGCACGAGGTATGGGCACTACGAGTTCAATGTGATGTCGTTCAGTTTAACCAATGCACCAGCGGTATTCATGAACCTAAAGAAATTGTGTAATGCAGTCTTATCTTGATACCTTTGTAGTGGTATTCATCGATGATATCCTCGTGTATTCAAAACCCCTGGAGAATCACGAGAAACACTTGAGACTCGCGTTGCAAACTTTGAGAGAGAACTAATTGTATGCCAAACTCTCAAAATGTGATTGGGTAGCGTTTTTGGGTCACATCATCACCTAAGAGGGCGTATACGCAAACTTATTAAAAGCGCTCAAAAGCGCCATTAAGCAACAAAGCACAGGGGAGCGCATTCCTTGCGCCTGGCTTTTGAGAAGCGGCTCTGCGCGAGAAAGCGTCGCTTTACCGTCGCTTTTCCGGAGCTCGCTTGGGAGAAAAGCGAACGCTTTTCATCGCTGGGAACAACGGCAACCGCCCAAACCAAAGGCGAATCATGGTGATGAAACAAGCCCAAGCCAATCCAACGATGTGGTCTCAGGTACATTCCTTGTAAATTCTGAGTCTGCTTATGTTCTATTTGATTCCGGTGCTTCTCACAGTTTTATATCTTCTAGCTTTGTTAAGAAATTGAAGATTGAACCAACGGCTAGAATAGACTTGAATATAAGAACTGTCTTAGATAAATTTGTAGCTTGTGGAAATATATACTCCAACATTTCCATACTCATATCTGAATCCGACCTATCTGAAGATTTGATTCAATTCGACTGAGAAGATATAGACGTAGTACTGGGCATGGATTGGTTGGGGAAGTACAAAGCCAGGATCATCTGTGATGAACAGAATGTGATCTTGAAGGGTTCAAATGGGAAGCGAAAATCTTACAAAACAGTCACAACCAAACCTAGTATGAAACTCATGACTATGCAACAATTAAGACGACATATCCAAAAAGGGTAGGAAACATACTTGTGCATGATGAAAGAGGTCAATACAGAGGAGCCAAACATTGATTAAATTGTTGTAGCCAATGAATTTCCGGACGTATTTCCGGAAGAGATTCGAGTGATGCCGCTCGAGAGAGAAATTGAATTTTCAATTGAGTTGATGCTCGGAACTGCACTAATTTCAAAAGCACCTTACCGGATGAAACTAAAAGAAATGCAGGAGCTGAAAGAACAACAAGAAGAGATGTTAGAGAAGGGGTACGTAAGGTCAGTGTCTCACCCGGGGGCGCTCTGGTTTTATTTGTCAAAAAGAAAGATGGGAGTACAAGGTTATGCATCGATTACCAAGAGTTGAACCAAGCAACTATCAATAACAAGTATCCATTACCTTGTATTGACGACTTGTTTGATCAATGAAAGGGGATGGCACATTCTCTAAGATAGACTTGTGCTCTAGCTATCATCAAGTGAGAGTAGCCGAGAAAGATGTACCAAAGACAGCATTCCGCACGAGGTATGGGCACTACGAGTTCAATGTGATGCCGTTCAGTTTAACCAATGCACCAGCGGTATTCATGAACCTAAAGAAATTGTGTATTGCATTCTTATCTTGATACCTTTGTAGTGGTATTCATCGATGATATCCTCGTGTATTCAAAACCCCCGGAGAATCACGAGAAACACTTAAGACTCGCGTTGCAAACTTTGAGATAGAACTAATTGTATGCCAAACTCTCAAAATGTGATTGGGTAGCGTTTTTGGGTCACATCATCACCCAAGAGGGCGTATACGCAACCTTATTAAAAGCGCTCAAAAGCGCCATTAAGCGACAAAGCGCAGGCGAGCGCATACCCTGCGCCTGGCTTTTGAGAAGCGGTCCTGCGTGAGAAAGCATCGCTTTACCGTCACTTTTCCGGAGCTCGCTTGGGAGAAAAGCGAACGCTTTTCATCGCTTTTCACAAAAAACGCATTTGACCAGTCAACGTTTTTTAGCTTTATCTGCCCGTCGCTACAAGTTAGGGTTATCTAGGAGTGTTTCGACACTTACGACACTCCACACAGCCGCAGGTGAAGACCGAAGAAGTGGGAGGTGAAGAAGCCGCGGGTGAAGAAAGAGGCAGAGAGTTCGCCACTTCGCCCAGACTTCCCTCCGGACAGAAATCGCTCACTCGCTGGTGAGCCGCAGGTTGTCTTTCGACTCTTTCATCAATAGTTTCTTTCCTTGTTTGATATCTTTCCTTGTATACGAAGTAGTCTGTTTTTTTTAGTTTGATATCTTTCGGTCTTTCCTTGTTACAAAGAACATCCTCTGCCTTCTATCTGTTTTAGACTTC